ATTATATTATTTTTACAAAACTTAAAATTTACGCAAGCATATAACAAATTAGAAATTATGATTGTACACAAAAAGACAATTATTTTGATACCCATAATGATATAAAAAGAATTACAACTGAAGATGATATGTTACAAAAATATTTTATAACTTGATTGTTACCCAAAGATTGTCAAAAATCGTAAATATACGCAACATATTTATAAGAACTATAATCTGTTTTTCCCCCCATCGTTCTCTTTCGATGATATTTTCCTTTTTAATAACGAAATTTTGTTATATCTGTTGAATTTCAATCTTTTCATGCTTATAAATCTGCGAATAACAGAACGAGGAATTCAGTTACTTAAAATCAAAAAGTCAAAAAGTTGTTTCAAAGGATCACACCGAACTCCGGTCCACGGTTAAGAATATTAACTTAATCTAAAACTTTATAAAAATTTCTTTTTTAAAATATATATATAAATATAATTATTTGTATTATTGATTAATAAATATAAACATCAGAAAAAAAAACCCTGTAACCATTCCAAACAAGTTTTGTTAAAAATAAAGTTTTTATATTTCACATCATTTTTCAACAGTCTCGATAGCTCAGTGGTTAAAGCGTTCGCCCTGCAATCTAAAGGTCGTAGGATCGAATCCTGTTGAGAATGCTTTTTTTTTCATTTAATTTTTTTTTTAATTTTCTTTCTTTTACATTATTTTCGCCGAATTAACAAATGACATTGTATAAACTCGACATTTATAATTTTTGTGAAGAAATCATTATAAAAATAATATTTAACCCATAAAAGCAGTTTTATCGACTGCGTAATGGTGACTTAATGGTGGCTTAAAGGTGGTTTAATGGTAGCTTAATGGAGTTTGGACATTAAGCACCTATAAGTCTGGCTTAATGGTGGCTTAATGGTGACTTAATGATTGTCTAGAAGCTACCATTAAGCACCTATAAGCTAGCTGCAATAATGTAGCCCTCTCCGATTTTTTTTAATCTTATATTTTCAGGAGAGGGCTACAATTCCACTGCATCTCCGTAATGGTGCAAATATATTTTTTAGATACAGGCGACTGCAGGCAAAATAAATTGTTTTTGCATTCAACTTACTTCCAATAAGACGGAATTTTTATTCACTATCAACATCATATCCCTTTATACGCGAAAACCAAGTAAAATAAATCTGCGTGTTTTCCAGTCGTTCACATCAGCAGCCATGACAGTTCTCGCGTGATGTACTGAGACTTGCACTTGAAATTTAGAATCACTTGATAATGTAAATGTCGGTGTTAATAAATGTTTGTGTTGTATGGTATCACTAAACATCGATAAATAAAAGCATTCCATGTGATATTTTTATCATAAACAGTGATATTTATGCTTATAATAAGAGAAATCCATACAGATCCGCTCCCCTAGATCCCAAATTCTCATTGGTTGTCCCAAAATAAAATCGATCAAGATCAGTAAACATGGCGGATAAATTCAAGTTGTGATGTTGACATACACGAAAAATAACCGATATACGGATTGTTCTGTGTATTTTTGGATCAATTCATGCCCTGCATAACTACATTTTATGAGTTCAGGTAAGATATGTTAACAAAATACCCACTTACTGATAATTTGAGCCGAAATCTGTGCGGTAGTGAATCACTCCCGCACTTGCATCATTACGGAGATTCTAAGGAGTTGTAGCCACTACTGGCCTAAATAATTACTGATAGTGCCACTTTTTACTGAAACTGCTTTCAACAGAACTTTTTTAAAAGTGTAACAACTACTGTATTGAAAAATAATGCGGACAAGCTTTAAAGGATTATTTTTAAATAATTACTATTATTGAAACAGCTAGAGTTTAAAAAGTCTTTGAAAAAAAGCTTCATCTACCATTTATTTTTCTTTTTTCTGAAATCATTTTTTAAAATAAGAACGATTCTTAACGATTTTAAACAAATTTTCTTTCCTCAGTCTTCCTTTCAACCAATTCCTCTCCCTTTACAGTCAATGTTAGGCTTGTTTTAACATCTTTTGGAGAGAAATAATCTCAGTAATTATCAGCAATTCTCAGTACCAACAGTAACTCTCAGCAAATATCAGTAACTATCAGAACCCACAGTAAAAACGACAGTAAATATCAGTAATTATCAGAACCAACAGCAATTATCAGTAACAACAGTAAAAATATCAGCAAATATCAGAAATTCTCAGTACCAACAGTATAATATCAGTAAATATCAGAAATTATCAGTAAAAAGTGGCACTATCAGTAATTATTTAGGCCAGTAGTGAGCCCTCTCCCAAAAAAAAAAAAAAAAAAAAAAATGGAGAGGGCTACATTATTGCAGCTACCTATAAGCCACCATTAAGCTACCTTTAAGCATCCATTAAGGACTTTGAGATGGCTTATTGGTAACTTAATGGTGGTGAATTTATTACTTAAATGTGGCTTAAAGGTGCTTAATGGTGACTTAAAGACAACCATTAAACTATCATTAAGGACCTATAAGCCACCATTAAGCCAAACTTAAAGGAAGTGTTTCATCTTGTGGGTGCTGAAAATTGACAAGACGCATAAATATGAAATAGTGTGGTTTATAGTTTCAACTTAATTTGCCTTACTACTGGTGTATTTCTAATGAGATTTAAAGATCCACAGGAATATTTCCCTTATTTTTGCTCTAATTTTGTTTTATAATTTTGTTAAAATTTATATATAAATAAATTCTATTTAGTTTTAACTGTACTGTTCATTAATTTTTTAAAAAATAATTTTGCATTTTGTAATCAAGGTTACCAACATAAAGATTTTGAAAAAGATTACATTAATGTTAATGTCGCTGTTTTCGTGTTGACGGATATTATCTTCTACTTTATTATTTGTTTTTTTTAAAAATGCATATATTTATAATCTTGCTGTGCCAATGGAATTCATATTATACATTATGACACATAAAGAAAATTGTTTGTTAAAGACCTGTTTATTTCTTCTAATAACCGAATATTGGCTACCTTTGTTTTGTCATGTAATATTTTTTTTAAATTACCTGTTGGCAGTAAATAAAAAAAAAAATACATGACTGAACCTGTAACTCTATACAATCTGTTGTTTGATATCAATGGTTCTTTAGTAACAACACAGAACAACGTAGACTGATCTGTTCTAAAACATGAAGAAACGTTTTAGCATTCAAATGAAAGATACTTAATAATGGAAATCTAATGACAGAACTATTTCCTAAATATTCTACAATAAATTTATTTACTTCAAGATTAAAAAAAATCTGATTTAGAATCAAAAGCATTCTAAAACACAAAAAGGGAAATTATGTTATGAAGCAAAAAACAAAATATTATATTGCAACTGATTGCAGTGACTGAAAAGTAGAAATATTGTGATATGAATGTTCAAGAAAAGGGTTTTGCTGAAACCTAAGGCGACATTGAGTCGTTTTTGGTTTTGAAATTCCGATACATTTCGCAAACATAATACGATACATAATGCAAACAACATCTGCAGAAAGGAGGGGGTGTATAAAAATCAATAAAGGATTTTTTAAAGAATTGAATTCCACCCAGTTTGTAACAGAAGATACAATCAATGTTAAACAGAGCGGCGAGACCGAGTGCCCAGACAGTTCAGCCACAGCATATTTTGCCCATTTGACACTCACAACAGGTTTTAGTATGGACTACAGTTTGAATAATTTGGCACCTGTGGGGAGAACTTGCGCAAATTGGCCAATAAATCAGAAAAAAGAATTTTCGCTAAGGTCATTAAATTACACTTTTCTTTTGGTGCATTGATTTCATTTTGAGTATGCCTTGCAGGTAGGGTTTTCCTACTTTTGTTTTTGACAGTTGTAACATAGCAAGGCTAGAATCAGGACAAGATAATGAAAATTAAAAGAGTTTTTATTAAGTTACATGAAGTTACAACTCATTCCAATATATAATTAAAGTTCACAACGTAATGAAATGATTGTATTGATTTGTTTATATAGTATCTAAAATTCCCAAAATAGTCCAAAATGTTAAAGTCATTTATCCAGTTCAGGGCAGTTCTCGTCTCTCTCTCTCTCTTCTGGTTTCAAGCTGAGTCTGTTCTTTTGCTCCAGTTTGTACCTATATCCAGTTCCTAAGGTATTGGTATAGCAACATCCGTGTCCAAAAATACTGCTGGTCAGAGTTTACATCTTATTAGTCCTATTTGACCACCTGGGTTCTAGATCAAAGCTACATTTGTCAGTGAAAGGCATGATAAGTTAATAATCCTCCTTCGGCCACTTATTGACTTATGATGATTGCCTTTAGGCCAGGAATAGAAGGGTATCCCTCGAGGTGAATATATGAAATAAGTCGATCCGATAATCCAGTCTTGTTTTGTACTGCTTTGACTTTAATTTGTTATTAGGAATCAATTTCATAATCCGACTTAAGAAAGAAGTATCACATTTAAGTGCATTTTTTAAGATTATATTATTATAAAAGAACTAAAATATAGAGACATCAATTAAACATTAATAGATAATTCATATAAAATATATGAAAGATAATGCATATATAAACATATTAAATAAACATTAATGCACATGTTAATGGTGTTTTATTCCTCCTATACTTGAGATGAATTAACGTTTAATTCACACTCGTGTCAAATATTTACTTTAATCATAACACATTTTTTATTAATATATTATTTGAACGGTAGGCACACAATTAAATTCACATCCAGGAAATCTCTTTTCGGAAAATTCACATCTAAAAATTTTCACTGAAATTCACATCTAGAAAAATTCACGTTTAAGAAATTTCACTTCAATTCAAATGCACGTCTATGAAAATACACATCTAGTAGAATCTCAATAAACAAATATGATTTGAACTGTCCATATTCACGATCCTCGGCTCCATATTAGAGGTATCAACTTGTTTATGATTCATTGAAATTTTCTGATGCGGTGATGTTAGGTAGGGTAAGGTTTCTTGATGGTGTCCTTACCTACACCAAATCTATTACTATCAGTCATCAATGGTGCAGAGGGTTTGAGATCTCTGCCCAAATCACTCATGTTGGACGAGTTAATCGTCACCAATAGAAAGTCCTCAGCTGTGACCCCTGATCTTTTAATGCTCTTTATACCCTGTCATAGTTTCGCCGACCGACGTCCCTTACAATAAATAAATATACCTAATCTGAATATTAAAGCTACCCGAAGTCCCAATCAAGCATAAACCCAATTTGACGAATCTTCAAAAACTGAGGTGGATCCAACATTTTTATTTTCTGTTAGTTCCTTAACAAGTCTGTCCATAGGTACAGTCTCAAAGTCTTGTAGAATTGTTGGTAAAGTTTAAAAAAAATGTTTATTTTAGAATGTAATGGTTTCCCTATTGTAACTGAGGAATAATTGTAAGTAGATATTAATTTCAGCAGAACATGAAATGAGAGATGGCTTAGTCTTACTAGAAACTATTCAATTTCGGATCCGTTAATTAAATATTTTGCCATTGGTAAGATAAATTTAACAATAAAACATACCTTGGTAAATAAGACAGTGAACTAGAGCAGAGCTCGTTGCAAAGCAACGAGTAGGTCTTCCGTTGGAGCTGCGAACAGGAAGAAGTGACCTTGAGTCAAGGTCATGCCACATTCTAAGGTTATAAGCAATCTTGTAAGGGGTATCAACTTGCAATGTCTCACCAGTAGAAAGACAGTTAAAGAATGTTGTTTCTTCGTTGATGACCTTGAACTCGTTCAAATGACCTTGCATCAAACCATGACACACTCTGGTTATAAGAAAACCCCATCTATGTGTTACCGACTCGACAAGTTAACACATGTTCTTTCAGACCATTCATCCAGTCAAAACATTCTTTCCTTAGTGACCCTAAATTTAATCAACATGGCCGTAGGAACCGAGGGGGGCGTGCCCCCCAATAATTTTGCCGATATATAGATTACTATAGTAGACATAGATACTATAGCTTGTGCCACCTCAATAAAAACGTCTGATAACCTTCTTTTTTTTTTTGCTTGTCAAGGAATTTTTGGTAGTTGGTGACCTTTTTTTTTTTTTTTTTTTTTGCTTGTCAGGAAATTTATGGTAGTAGTGCCCCCTCAACTGTCAACTGAAAATGTGTGGCTCCCCCCCCCCCCAAAAAAAAAAAAAAAAAAAACTGAATTTGCTTCCTATGGGCCTGATCAAGGCAATGATACACTCTGTATGATATCAGCGATACCCTTTTGTGTGTTTCGGACTTGACAAGTTCACAGTTTGCATTTATTGCATGATAGTGAGGGAGACATGAAGATTTCTTCGCCCATAAAAAATCATATTCCGCGAGGGCAACATGAAGATTTCTTCGCCCATGAAAAATCATACTCCCCGAAGGCAACGCCCGAGGGAAATATGATTTTTCATTTGCGAAGAAATCTTTATGTCTCTATTATGCAATAAATTGTTTATAATACCGAATTAACCAAAATGCAGGAATTACAAAGGAGATCCAATGAATAAAGCAAACATGCATTTGATGAGAACGATATGAAAGAGATGTAAGTTACAGGTACACCAACAGCCTCGTTTCATTAAAAAAAAATCCTACGTGACAAGTTTGTGTGATCACACCAGTAACATTCAAACACCATTACATTTTTACACATTTAAATCGACACAATCAATCAACGATAATATGTTGACGGTGCGACCGTTGGGCGAGTGCATTGTTCACTTAATTTTAAGATCCGCCTCTTCAAACAGCATTCTTCAGACATTTGGAACGTCTAGACTGTGACGTCTCATGACGTATGTTAGCTGTACTTCCATAAACGAATTTTGAAAAGTGCAAACATTTTAACAAAGAATGTTTAATGTACTATCTGTATGCAATTCCATTAATTAAGGTGATTTTTTGGGGTGAATTTTTAGTTGTTGTTACCGCGCGAACGAAGTTAGCAGCGTCGCTATAAACAATCTAACTCCTCACTCGTTTAATTGTGACGTCACAATCGTGAAACACGACGTTTTGTTGTAGGGCAAACATGATGGACACGTGACTTTCTCGGCCAATCAAATTCTATTTTACTAGTGATTTTTCACTTGTAAGCTAGTTTTCACAGAGGTATAATAAACGTTTTTTTAGACCATACATCGAAATAAATTATCATTATTTCTATAGTCGTAATTTATTAGGTTCAACTCACTGCTTTAAAGGATCATTGTAAATGTTTTATGCCCGATTTGGATACTGAACAACGTGTGATTTTTGAAACACTGATGCCCCCATATGGCATCTTATGGCAAAAGTTAAAGTTTCTCAAATGCAAGTCAAACTCCATGGTCAAGATCAAAAGATAAAAAAAATGTTATTACCCAAATAAAGGTCTTGAACAAAGAATATACTGTGAAATATATACTAGTATGAAAGCCACAGCAGCAACAGTTTAAAAGTTATGGCCAAGGTTAATTTCTTTAAAAGGTCAAACTCCAAGGTCAAGGGATCATAATTGTTTGTACTTGAGGGAAGGTCTTAATTGTTACAAGGAATACACATATGGTTTTAAAAAAGCCTTAGCACCAATTGTTCAAAAGTTAAAACCAAGGTTAAAGTTTTTCAAAAGTAGGACATACTCAAAGGTCAAGGTAAAATGGTCAAAATTAAAGGTATACAATGACAGGCCTTGTCACAAGAAAATTACCTATGTAATATAAAAGCCCTAGTACTAGTCATTCAAAAGTTATTGTCAAGGCTAAAGTTGTTTAAAAGTTGGTCAAACTCCAAGATCAAGGTCAAATGGTCAAACATATTTATACCCAAGGAGGAGACTTATCACAAGGGATACAGATGTGAAGTATAAAAGCCATAGCACCAACTGTTCAAAAGTTTTGGCCAAGGTTATAGTTTGGTAAAATTTTACGAAAGAGGATCAAACTCCAAGTTCAAGGTCAAGAGGTCAAATATGTTGGTACCTGAAGGAAGTCCTTGTTACTAGGAATACACATAAGAAATATGAAAGCAGTAGTTCCAACCAATCAAATATTATGGGCATAGTTTTTTGCGGACAAAGAGGCTTACACAGTCTAACAGACAAATAGACAGGTGGACAGGACAAAAACTGTATGCCCCCCCTGATCTTCGATTACAGTAGCATAAAAAAAATGTCGGCGTCTTTGGGTTTTCGGATTGGCCTTAAATCTGAAAATCCAAAGGATTACAAGGTGCATTACGATACGCTTTCACATCATGTTCTATAACCCAGAGCATATTGTCTGCAAAGATAAATATTTAATTCAGTATTTAATTAGCTATGCATAATTATCTATGTTGTTTTAAAAAGAAAATATAAAAAAATATTTGTTTTATATTTTTCGATGTAGAGATATGCAGAAAATGTTTTCCTATTTTAAGTCCTATCGCAATACATATTTAAAAGAAAGTGTGTGTTGGAGGGGGGGGGGTCATTACATTTTTGCTGGGATTCGCCTATGTATGACCGTAGAGAAACAAAGAGTGGGGAGGGTGCAAGCAGCAACTAAATCAAAATTTACATATTAAAACTACAGCAAAAGACTATTTTCAGAAGGTCTGCCCCCCCCCCCCCCCCCCCGTACAATGCGTACAACGGACCTGTGAAAAAAATACTGATCCTACATTCAGAGTCCCAGGGCACCAGGAAAGAGTGGCAAAAAGAGAATATCAGTTTATTTCAGTCTATAAGTCGAATCAAAATATCTTTTCCTCAAGAGTCTTCTTTCTTTGAGTTCATCCCAGTGATCGTGTGATTTATTTCATTTATTTTACGTTCTGTACTGGACTTGGAAAATGAGGACATCTTTAGGTTCCTGAGCTGGCCTTGAAGCCCGCAGAACAGATTTTCTGCTTTATGATAAATTCAAGTGATATGTAATCCGGTATTAATTTTGTGTTGCTTTTTTTTCATGTTAATTTCATCAAGAAATATGAAAAATTAATGTTTTAACTATATACAGTGAGGCATTTTTTGTGTGGAACGATTATCAAATGGGGTTTTCACGATTTTTTCATATGGTACACATGATGAGTAAGTGCAATAAATTTAATTTGTGGAAAAAATGTCCAACAAGCCCCGGGGTTGAATATCGGGGGGGGGGGGGTCTGTCCACAAGTACCTTTTGTCAAGCCCGTGGAAAGCAATTTCAGTTTTTTTGGAGGGAGGGGGGCAAATAGAAATTTCCACAGGTACTTGTACTCGATTTTTTCCTATGGTACACATGATGAATAAGTGAAATAAATATAATTTGTGGAAAAAAATGTCCAACAAGCATCGGGGTTGAATGTGGGGGGGGGGGGGGGTCCTGTCCACAAGTACCTGTGGAAATTTCTTGATACATAAACAGAATTTAAAAGCATGTATAAGACATCAATTGAAGGGGAGAGGGCACGGCCGTAATTAAAAGTTATATAGAGACTAGGAAGGAATGAACTATCATTAAATTTTGGTTAAGAACTATTACCTAAACTCTTCACTTTCACATTTTCAATTACAGATTCTTGTTTTTAAAAAGCTACACATGTACATTGATATGTATCTATTAGATGCATAAATTATGTTATTAATCATTTTATCTTAAAGGAAAATTAAAAATCTCAATCAAACTTGTTCCGCATATTATGCTCTCTGATTCATTACTCAACAGATGCTTCATATACATAGACTGCAGACTGCAGGTGTGATAAATTCACAGCATGCAGCTCCAGCCTTAATTCCAACTTTGTTCCAAAATATTATTATTCAACGCGAAAAATTAGAATTAGCCGATAGAATATTTTGAATCACTTCGGAAATGCTGCCGTAACACCAGACTGAGTTCACAATATCGAGTGATTTTGATTGACAGGTGTAGCGCCGTTGTGCATGGATTTCGTGTAACTGCAGATTGTGGTTGAAAATAATAAACAAACAGATCTAAAGAAAAGATATTGTATACTGTACATATATTTGTTAAGAACCAGTTCATTCATGAAACGAATTTAGTCGTATTATGTGGGCCCATGTTAGATCATTTAGGGTATTCCGAATCACCCCGCA